CTCGGTTCTCTCCTTTGCCTGTGTGAGTCAGTCCTGGGGGCTCACACTCAGGTCGTCTTGGTGGTGAGCACCTTACCTACTGAGACACTTGAGATGCTTATGACGTATTCTTTCAATGTGCCACCAGAGTTTATTAACATTTACTTTGTAGTATACTGCTGCTCTTAACTGAAACTAAACTAAACTTCCTTTTTGTGGGCCATCTTGGCTGAGGTTATATATATATAAATGGTATGCTTGGCTCACTAACAAAGCATTAGAGATATAAACATCACTTGAACTATGCCCTATACATCCAAAGGTATTCGTTTCGTTAGCTAGTTTGTAGTCTCTGCCTTTCATTCCAGAGTCCCTAAAGATTTCAGATGAAATCAGATGCCAAGCTGAGCTTAGTGCCCATGTCTACTGTTTCAGCTACTCAGGAAGCTCAGGTAGGGCTGGAAATTAGATTGGAGGTCATTCTGACAATGTAATAAGATTCTATCTTGAAAAACATCTTATTTCTAATTTAGCTGCATTGCATTGAACCTGTGGTCTCTAACAATTACTGTTTATTTAGCAAATGTCCTGTAAGTGCTTGTAAAAGTAGATGTTTGGCTTTTTCAGGAGCCCGTGTGATGTTTGGATATATGTTTGGTGTATTCTGTTATTGTCTACAGCCTCAGCAGCCTTTTTCATTCAGCTAATGTCCCTGACCTAGAGATTTGAGTGACAACCATCAATGTTCATGTCTAATCTTCCGGTACCTCCTACTCTTATGCCGAATGTCAGCATTCTAATATTTCAACTATTGGTATCTACACTGTGAATTTGTGTTTGTTTTGTTCTGTTCTTGGTTTTGTTTTGAGACAGGGTTTGTATAACTGTTCTGGCTGTCCTGGAACTTGCTTTTGTAGAGCAAGCCATCCCTGAACTCAGATTGGCTGCCTCTGCCTCCTGAGTGCTGGGATTAAAGGCGCATGTCACCATGCCTGGCATGAATTCGTTTTTTATTGATTTTTTTAAAATCTCAATTGGGCCATTTCTAATAGTAGGAGTTTAACTTCTTTCTTCTTGGTACATTTTCACTTTTGGTCAACATTTTAACAGTAACTATTATATGCAAGCACTTGACCGCTCCTTTAATGGTTTTTTTTTTTTTTTGCTTGTCCATTCGCATTATGAACACTCAATAAATACCAGTGTGCTGCCTGTTTACTCCAGCTAGCTCTTGAAAACAGGATATTGCCTAGAATACTAAGACTTTCTCGTGGAAGAAAACTGAAGTGACCTTGTCTAAATGAGTTTATTCCTGTGTTTCTTACTGGTCAACCATTCTATCACAAGTAAATTTTCAGTAAGGACATAATAGGGAAGATTCTACCACTTTTTCTTTTCACAAGTCAGATTTAAGGGAGTATGCTCTCTATGTGATTGCCATATAACTACTGGATTCTAAACACATAATTTTCGCAGGAACAGCTTCTCCAGAAAGCGATGATAGGGGAAAATTTAGTGTATGGAACTAAGGGAGCCCATGTAACATTGCTGACCTCTTTCTGCAGCCACTTAACCAATGTTTTAACCAGCAGGGATCTGCCATACAGGCAGCAAAGTTCAGATGTGAGAGCAGCTCAAAATCCAGCAGACAAGTAACTCACTCTGTAGAAGAAGCGGCGGGGCTGTGTCCCCGGCACCCGGCCGCCCTCATGGCTAGATTATGCCCGAAATAATTACACGGAAACTGTATTATTTTAAACACTGCCTGGCCCGTTATCTGTAGCCTCTTACTGGCTAGCTCTTACATATTAATCTAACCCTTTTTTTTTTTTTTTTTTTTTTTTTGGTTTTTCGAGACAGGGTTTCTCTGTGGTTTTGGAGTCTGTCCTGGAACTAGCTCTTGTAGACCATGCTGGTCTCGAACTCACAGAGATCCTCCTGCCTCTGCCTCCCAAGTGCTGAGATTAAAGGCGTGCGCCACCACCGCCCGGCAATCTAACCCATTTCTAATAATGTGTAGCCCACGAGGTGGCTTACCAGAGATCTTAACCTGCGTCTGTCTGTAGTGGGAGAATCATGGCGACTCCTGACTCAGCTTCTTTCTCTCAGCATCCTGTTCTGTTTTCTCCGCCTACCTAAGGGTTGGCCTATCAAATGGGCCTAGGCAGTTTCTTTATTAGTAAGAAATCAGTCCCACATCAACACAGGAAGCAAAGGAAGCTCTGCTGTAGGCCAAGCTTTTGTTTTCTTTTGGGAGCATAATTGGGGGGCTTGGGAAAGAACGTGAGATGGGAGAGACACTCAAAACATGGGAGTGTGCAGATGGCTTTCTTTGGTGGTCTTCTTCCTAGTGTGGGGGAAGGCAAACACTGGCTGAAGTCTCAACGGCCACGTTTTGACACCGAGTATTATTTTGACCTGCACAGCACACATCCCTTTCTAGTTAGGGCTTCACTCAGGAGAGCTACCCTTGGAGCACTGAGAACTTTGAACTGTCTCCACTCTAATCTGATGCAATAGGTTCAAACTGTGGTGAGTACAAAGTCAAAGGCGGCAGAGCTGCTGGGCGTGGTGGCACACGCCTCAAGACCATGGGGCACCCATTTAAAGGAGTAAGGGAGAAGACAGGAGTGCCTCTGTGCACACTCACCTTGAAGAACACACCAAGGGGACATGAACAGAGAAGTCTGAACCAGGAATAAGGAACACAACTATAAATCAAACACTCAGGAGGCTGAGCCAGGAGGGACACTGAGTTTCAGGCCAGCATAGGTTACATAGTACTAGACTAGCCAGAGCTACATAGCAAGATCTTGCCTAAAGGCACTTGCTTCTCTGAGCAGCTAACACTACAACCTACCCATACCCAGTCATACAGTCTAAAATGAAACTAAGATCATGATGGGCATGATTCTGTGGTCCAGTGATCTACTGTCAACTGCAAGAGATAAGTGATCTCTGTTCCAACAACATGACTTACAATTCAAACTGTCACCTTTGCTAAAGCTAACAGCAATGTCTGAAGTCGTTTTGCTGTTTGCGTTGTTATCCGGGACTGACAAGTTCAGTGGCTAACGTGTATGACGGCAAGTCTGATGGAGCTAAGTTCTATCCTGCGACCAACATGGCAGAAGACAGAGTCACGCAACCTGCACACACACAAAATAAAATGCAGAAATGGTGGCTCACAACTATCTGTCTTAAAATCGGGTACCATCTTCTGGCCTGCAGGGACACATGCAGGCAGAACACTATATATATCATAAATATAAATCTTTACAAGAAATGCAATAAGCAGTTATTGTAGCTTGCAACAGAGCACAACCTGAATGGGTGCTCAAGGTGGCTTACTCGGAGGGTGTTACACAAGTTTCCCAATGATGGTATCTTCAGTGATCTGCAAACCACCCAAACTAATGCTATGTAAGACCCTCTTAACCTCAACAGCAAAGTCATTTATAAATTATTTTCAGACAGAAGGAAACTGCAAAAGTAATTATTGTAAAAATACATAATCTGGAGTGAAATGTGCTACCATCTTACTTTTTTAGGATCTTTGCAATGTAATTCTAAATTTGTGCAATATTGGCTACCTTTCTCAGTGCCATGACCAAATACTGTAGTGCTTTTTTGGGCTTATAGCTCAATGGGACATACCCATCAAGGCAGGGAAGGCATAGTGGCAAGGGCATGGGCCAGCAGGTCACACCTATCTAACCAGGAAGAAACAGGACATGAGAAGCCAGCCTGATATATCTATATTTTTTAAAAAAATATTTATTATGTATACTATATTCTGTCTGTATGTATGTCTGCAGGCCAGACCTCATTACAGATGGTTGTGAGCTACCATGTGGTTGCCAGGAATTAAACTCAGGACCTTTGGAAGAGCAGGCAGTGCTCTTAACCTCTGAGCCATCTCTCCAGCCCCCTATCTATATCTATGTAATTCCAAGTCACCTAGTGTTAGTTAAGATTCCATATCAAAGAAAATGTGGTCGACACTAAACTTAAAAGTCCCACTTCTAACGACGCATGTCCTCCAGTAAGGCTCCCACTTTCAAGAGGTTCCACCACCCCACCCCCTGTAAAATGCCCAAGGTCATTCCACATTTAAGCCCAGGTGTCTTTGTTAAAGACCACACAAAGTGCAACTTAGCATTTTAACCATCATTTGTGTCCTTAGCAATTTGTTCAGCTGTACTGGGAAGCTACAAATTTTAATCAGAGACCTTGAATTTTCTTTTTTGCACGTGTATGTTTACACATTAAGGTGTAAATGTTAAGGCAGAAGTCAAATTGACCTCAAGCATCCTTCTCAATTGCTCAGTCTCTGACTGAGCCTGCAGCTCCCTAGGATCCCATCTCTGCTTTTCCAGTGCTGGAATAACATGGGCCTGCATTGCCACCCAGTGTTTATACGGAAGCACCAAGTGTTCTACTCACTGAGCCAGCTCCACAGCTCGTACATTTTTGTTACGAGCATACATGTGTTGTAAATACTTTGTAAGTTCAAGACCAGCCAGGGCTATATAACATACCTTCTCAAAAACCAGGAAAATATCACATTTTCATCCATGTTTTGCATTTTGGAGGTACTGGAAATCCAATTTGGGGCCTCTTTGCATGCTAAGTAGGCATTCTGTCACCTACATTTTGGGGTTGAGGGCTTCTAGGCAGGTTTCTCTGTGTAGCCCTGACTGTCCTAGTACTCTCTGTACACCAGACTGGCCTTAGTCACCTGCCTCTGCCTCCCAAGTGCTTGGATTAAAGGTGTGTGCTCGATCACTGGACTTATATCCCAAGATCTTTTTACTTTTTTCAGACAGAGCCACAAACTGCTCCAAGGCCTTTAACTTCAGCTCTTCCTGACTCAGCCTCAGTAGTTGGAATTATAGGCCTATGAGAGCAGACTCTTCCACATCAAAGTTTACTTGTAATTTAAGACTTTCAGTACAATAGCCTTCATAAACTTGCTTGAAACATGCCATTTTAGAAAATCACCAAATCATCTAATCAGATGTATTTCAGAAATGTATTTATTCTAATGTCTGGCTCACTTTTCTGGTAAGCATTGGTTCACAAAATACAGCACAGAAGAAACTTGAAGATGGTTTTACAATTTACTTATGTTATTGCTCTCCACAATATATAAAGATAGCCAACTTACAAAATATAGATTTTGCCCTGGTATCCAATGAGCCATCCCCAAAAAACAATTTTAAAAGGTTATCTGGCAAAACACAAACATCCCTGATTATTTCAGTTCAAGCACAGGAAACTAAACTATTATTCCTAAACTACAAAATAACTTTTACAAACTTAAATTGTGCTTATTTTCAACCCTCCAAGTCCAAAACAACTAGTGAATAAGAGATGCCTCTTCTTTTCTGTATATCATCACCATTACTGCTCAGTGTGCAACATCTACAAAGCCAAAGGCTACCTAGGAACCACCTAAGACACAAATGAGATTCTACTTCATTACCAACAGATGCAATTCACATGGGTACAATCATTAAAGAACTGACCATGGCTCTCTAGTCTTCTCCACATTCTTCTGAAATCTGCAAATACAAAAACCACCTGGTTCTAGATATAAACTTTAACTCCCCTACCAATAAAAATATATGTATTACTAGGAAAACTACTTGGTTGTAGTTTACTATGAATAGTAGTGAGAAACCAAGTTGCCAGACTGGGTTGACTTCAAGGCAGGAGGGGAAAAAAAACACAACTTCTTGAAAAGGTAAAATAGCTTAAAGCATTTAATATCTAAACAAATCAATCTGTTAATAATTAGTAGTCACAAAATATGCTTAATATAGAAACCCACATTTGTTTTAAGAAAGTGTAAATTGCATTTTACCTCAAAACATAAATTAATCTGCTTAAGAATCAGCAGCAGTCAAAATCATGGAGAATTTTAAACATCAGAATAAAATAACAATAAGTACTTTATACTGTTTTGTATCTAAAAAAAAGTTTACAACTTCTCATGAAAATAGTTTGAGGCAACCATTCTTTTATTCTTTAACAGATGTTCAACATTATGAGCAACATTCTTAAAACCTTGTCATACAGATTTTCACACATTCAAATACTGTGGTCCCCTTTTCTTTGATGGGATTTAATCAAGTTAGAGAAAAAAAAGCATGGTAGACAACTTAATACATTTCCACCAAATTGGAAGTAGTACAAAAATTTAAGGTTCTACAGAACTACACATCGTACCTAATATATCATTAAAAATAGAAGACAGTATTTTCTTCAGCAAATACAACAGCACATTGGTATGCTGTCAGTGTATACCCTTTAATATGTACTGCCATTCATAAATTATTTACAACGTCTACTTTACTGAAGATAACTACAATTTAAATTTTCTGCAAAACTGGAAAAAAGCAATACAAAATCTGTGAAAGCCAGTGTTTTATATCATATAAAAGCCAGTTCTCTTCAAACACCAGCTACTGGATGCAGTGGTGACTTGGAGACATTACAGTAATTCTTGAGGATGTTTCAATGCGGGCGGCAAGTTTACAGGTCTCGACTCTTCATCAAGGAGTACTAGATCTTCTACCTCACTGCCTCTGTACTTCCTTTTACATATCTTTACCACCACTTTCTTCTTGAGAAATAACTTCAGTGCTTCTCTCGATGCAACTGCCTTTGCATTTTCTTTGCTTTTTCCACAGCCAGTGCCCAAATACACCGACTTACACCTCAACTCACAAACAATACTTTCTTGAGAGCTCTTATTTTGAGGCAGATCTGCCAGTTCTTTCAACGGGACAAAAAACACATCCAGTGTTGCTTTCAGAGCTTCAATAGCTGCATTTAGCAGCTCTCCATGATTCACGCTGGGGCTAAAGCCACCAACAGCTACCAACTTCCACGCCACTGTTTTATACAGTCTATTGAAGAAAGGCTGCTTCTGCTTTACATCTTCATTGGTTAACTTCCGACAAGAGAATTTGACTGAGCTCTCACTGGACTGTGAGGCACTTTTGGAAGGCACCTGTGAAGTGCTACTCTGAGAGCTACTCTTAGAAGCTAGCTGAGACACGCTTGCTAAGGAAGTGCTTTTGGAAGCCATAGAGCCACTGCTCTGGGAGCTGCTTTTGGAAGCTAACAGTGATGCAGCTACCTGAGAAGTGCTTTTGGAAGTCAGCAGTGAAGAACTGGTTGAACTGCTCTTGGGATTTAGTAGAGAGGTGCCTGAGGAGGAACTGTTTTTAGAAACTGTAGGTGAAACACTTGCCTCTGAACTAGTTTTGGATGTTAACCCACTTGAGGCTGTCTCTGAACTAGACTTATTAGACAGTAATGGCAACTCTACTTCTGAACTTCCAGAGGAACCCAACAAGGGCACCTCGATCTCTGAGCTGCTCTGAGAAGTCGAGAGGGAAGAACCTTCCACAGCACTCTTTTTAGGTGATCCACTCTGCTGTCTAGAATCAGTGGACTGGCCCACATGACTATTCATACTGGATTTCAACAACGAAGAAACAAATGATGCTGAGCCATGTTTATCTGCAGCTTCTGGGTCAGAAGCTTTTCCAGCCCCCGCTGTTGTTACCTGAGAGGAATCGCTGCTGCTTTGGCTGCAAACAGACCTATCTCCTTCACTCGTGGAGCTATTCTGATTAGAGACACCAGAGCTGCTCCGAGCTGACGCCCCACTACTCTCTGACTTGGTGGACGACCCTGTGGATGCCGAACTGTTTTCCTGATGAGCTGACGAACGATCTGTTTTAGCAGATTTCTTTCCATGATCTCGCTCAACAGAAGAATTGTTTTTTCCTTCTATGACTCGTTTTTTGGATGGCTCTTCTATCCCTTCTAGAAAGAAGAAAAACACAAGTATTTCACTAGGAGTCCCACACAGATGTCAATTCATTAAGAAACATTCATTAAGAAAGCACAAAGGCCAGATGGTGGCAGCGTATGCCTTTAATCCCAGCACTTGGGAGGCAGAGGCAGGTGGATCTCTGTGCGTTTGAGGCCAGCCTGCTCAACAAGAGCTAGTTCCAGGATAGCTAGGGCTGTTACACAGAGAAACCCTGCCTCCAAAAAGTACAAAGGGGGGGGGCCAGAGAGATGGCTAGGTAGTTGAGAGCAATAGCTGCTCTTCCAGAGAACCTGGGTTCAATTCCCAGCACCCACACAACAGCTCACAAGTGTCTGTAATTCCAGTTCCAGGTGATCTGACACCTTCACACCAAGGCACATAAAATAAACTTTGATAAATTGTGAAAGAAAGAAAGAAAGAAAGAAAGAAAGAAAGAAAGAAAGAAAGAAAGAAAGAAAGCACAAAGAGGAGCTGGGCAGTGGTGGCACACGCACTGAGGCAGAGGCAGGTGAGTGTGAGTTCAAGGGCAGTCTGGTCTACAGAGCCAAGTTCCAACACAGTCAGGGCTGTTACACAGTGAAACCCTGCCTCGAAAACCAAAATAAATAAATAAGTAAATAAATAATAAAAATAATAAGAAAAAGCACAAATAAAAATATTTCAGGACTAGCTTCTTTTAAGGCGTGAAAAACTTCATTAATATCTTACGGTATTAACAGGATTAATTTCTAATATTAAATTAACAGCGTCAGACATTGGATTTTAAAATCTAAAGCAGTCAAAGGAAACTAACAAATTCAGCACACCGGAAACAGACAGACACACACAGTTTAGCTTTAACATGTCAACTAGATTAATACATCATACAAACTCTGGCTTGTTAAAAATTAGTAAGGACAGCAATTCCTAATTACATCAAGCTTATTTTCTAAACTCCTATGTATGTTCACATCTATGATCTGCTAACCATTGCTACTCGATATCCCTCTTTTCTTCACCTTGGCAACCAGTTCGTCTCGTGTGGTATGGATTGGAGCATCTGTCACTTTGATGCCTTCAGCCATACTAAGAATTTTATCCATAACTTTTTGAGGGTACCTGAAAAAAGAAGCAAAAAGTCGCTTTCAAGGAGTGTTTTTGCGAAACGACAGGCAGTGTGCGAGGTGCGGGCCCTGGGAAAACTGCAGTTCCTGGCTGCAATCAAAGCGGACCAACCGCGCGACAACTTTATGTCCCGGAGATGCCATAAACAAATGCCTCCGGCGCTCGGGAGGCGAACCCCTAAACCGGGGGTCTCCCGGGTACCGTCGGCTGCACACACCCCGGGGTCCCCCGCCAACACTGAGGTCGGCGCTGCCGCGGACGCCCTCCGAGGGCCGCCAGGGCCACAACTTCCCGCGCTTCCCGATCCCCGGCAGCGCCCCTCGGGCAGCCCGGAACGGCTGCCTCCCGCTCCCTCACTCACCGGCACCCCAGGAAGACATGGTTCGCCCAGGCCATGGAGAAGGAAACGAGCTGCTGGAGCTGCCGACGGCGGCTTCCGCTCTCCGCGTCGGCCGCGGCTTCCCCGGGCGTCGAGGGGACCAGGTCTCCGGCATTGCGGAGCAGGAACTCCCGGCGGTGGCGCCAGTGTTTGTCCGTCTCGCCCTCGCAGCGCAACGTCTCCGCCCAGGCGGCTACTCGCGGGTTCTGGCTCAGGTACTCGGCCACGTCCTGCGCCATGTTGGGCCTGCGGGACGAGGAGAGCGCGAGCGCACCGAGCCAAGGGCGGCCGAGCGGCGGGGCGCGGCCCTGTCAGCGCGGCCTGCACCGGCGAACCTCCCGAGAACGCCCCTCCGGGCAGCCCGAACCCCAAACAACAGAGCACGGCGCCGACGAACCGCCCACTTCCGCCGGCCCGCTCCCTTTTATCACCTCGCCGCCGCCGCGCGCTCGCGCGTCCTTCCGGCGCCAGCCCGTTCTCCCGGGGTGCTTTGCGGCGACGCCGAGCCGCCCGCCACTCGGAGGCAGAGCGAGCCCGACCGAGGCGGGGCTGAGGCGACCGAGGGGGAGGCGTCCTCTCGCCACCCTGCGAGGGCCGCGCGGCGCCGGGTGCGGCTGGGCCTCGGCGTTCCGGGGGCGCTTTGTGACGCCGCGCTCTGCGTCCGCCCCGGGCCGGGGACAGTGGGCGGGGCGTCCGCCTGCGCGTCTCCGCCCCCGGACGCTCGCGAGGCGCGCGCGGCCAAAATAAACAAAAGCTGGCTTCTCTGCCCGCGCCGCGTGCTGTGGAAACTGCCCCGAGCGTGCCGAGCCCCGGGCGAGCCTCGGGGCGTCTGGGGACGCGGGGACGCCTGTGGGGTCGGGACATTAAGGAATAACAAGCCTGCAACCAGGCTCTGGGCTTGATTTCCGCGGTTTCTTCGGTTCCGGGGTCCACCCCTACCATACCCGCTTCCTCTAACGTTTTTGATCCGAAAACTATAAAGAGCCCTGTGCCGACAGGCTCTGTAGCCGCATTCTTTGTGGAAATGAACTGTTAGCGCCAGTTGGGCCGAAGCGGAAATGTGCTTGTTTATCGCGTCCGCCCGGCCTCTCTCAGGGCAACGGGGCTTTTTTTTTTTTTTTTTTCTTTCTGATTTATGTGTGTGGATGTTTTCTTGCATGTATGACTGTGCAGCTTGAGCGTGCCTGACGCCCTTGGAGACAAGAGGGTAATGGCTCTCCCGGAGCTGGAGTGACACGGGATTTCGAGCGCCATGTGGGTGTTGGGAATTGAACCCAGGTGTTCTGGAAGAGCAGCCCATAGTTTTTTTTTATTTTTGCTTTTAGGTGGTCACATTTGAAAGTACTCGGCAGTTCTCGCTTGTTAACGTTTTCAAGTCCAGATGTACGTCTAATATTAGTGAACTCAAAGCATCATTATTATATGTAATAGTGATGAATTATAAAATTGATTTTCCTTCACTAGATATTTGCATTTTATTGTGAAAATACTTATCAGAATAATCAAGCAAAATGAAGTCATTTTGTTCCTAAACTTGGGTAGCCATGAGCCTGTGTCCCAACACTGTTCAGCCTTAATAAATCAAGTAAAAAGGTCAAATTAGGCGGGTGGAAGTTTAATCACAGCGGGGAGGCAGAGGCAAGTGGGTCTCTGTGTGTCTGAGGCCAGAGTGAGTTCCAGGACAGGCTCTAAAACTACAGAGAAATTCGGCTAAAAGAACAAAAAAAAAAAAAAAAAAAAGCGCCAAATTTGTGTTGTGATGGGGAGCAGAAAATGTCTTTCAGTTTGGCCACAAGGATCCCCAGTGACACCCAGCCCACCTCAAGTAGGTCTTTGGAGCCCTGAAATGAGATTCAAATTAAAATAGAAAGCCAAAGATATGCATATTTAAAATATGCACATCTAAACAGCGACCAAGGTGTGGCCCTGCCCATTATTGAGTCTCTTCCTGTAAGGTGATTGAGACAGCGGTTAGAACTATAAATTTTTTTTCAGGATTTCCTTCTCCATAAGATTCTTGGGGGAAATCTCATTTCTTAGGGTCTATTGTTTTAATGTTCTAATAGAATGAGAATAAAGAGCCTCTCATTCCAGGACAGCCAAGGCTACACAGAGAAGCCCTGTCTTGAAAAATAAAAGCGAAAGAAAAACCAATCAAATAAACAAAAAGTTCATTTCTCTCAAGCCAGTTACAATTTTAGATATGCAGCAAAAATTATGTAGCAGGCTACGCACACCTTTAACTCCAGCACTTTTGAGGCAGAGGCAGGTGAATCTCTGGGTTCAAGGCCAGCCTGGTTTAAACAGTGAATTTCAGGACAGCCAGGGTTACACAGACAAACCCTCAAAGCAAACAAAACACCATGTAATTTATATACATGCTAGAGCAATAAAAAAATTAAAATATTAAAAAAAAAACAGCTATTTCATGAAAACTACATTGCCTTCCCAGCCATACCCGGAAGAAACTACAGCAAGGTCAAAAGAGAAATTGAAACTTCACTGTTATCCCAAAGCTTTTTTTCCAGACAGTTAAGTCTGAAAACTGAAGACTGTAGGAACCCTTACAGTTCAGAAATTTCATGAATTCCTTGACAAGGGGTTCAAAAGAAAATACTCGATGATTTCATAACTAAATGACATTGTTAAATTTTTAAAACAAGACATTTTTCCCTGGCCACCCTGTGTCTTCCGATTGACTGACCTCAAGGCCCTCACAGGAAAGCAAATATATGTAACATTTTAACAGCCAAGTTTTTCTCTTTGGAGACAGAGTCTTGCTTTCTCTTAGATGGCCAGGAGCTGGTGATCTTTCTGGCTCTGTCTCTAGGGTTTACCCATCTCAAATTCTCACAGTTATAATAAAAGCAAAAATAGAATGAAAGCTACAGTATTTATTTGCAAAAGTCGGGTACTTTACAGGAAAGATATATGTACTTTTGCTTCGGATTTTTTTTGTTTGTGTTTCTTTAAGACAGGTTTTCTCTGTGCAGCCCTGGCTGTCCTGGAACTTGTTCTGTAGACCAGACTGGCCTCAAACTTGGAGATCCTCCTGCCTCTGTCTTCCTAGTACTGGTATTGAAGGCAAGACCAGCAAGTGGCTCAGTGGCTAAGAGCCCTGTCCTCCGAGTTCCACCTCTGAGTCCTACAATGAGCAGAGAACCAGCATCTGCTAATTGTCCTCTGTGGTGGTTTAAAAGAAAACTGTCCCCAAAGAGAGTGGCACTATTAGGAGGTGTTGCCTTGTTGGAGTAGGTGAGGTCTTGTTGGAGGAAGTGTGCCACGGTGGGGTCTCATATCTGCTCAAGACAAGACCAGTGTACAATTCACCCCCTATTGCCTTTGTATCAAGATGTAAAGTCTCTCAGTTCCAGCACCACGTCTGCCTGAATGCTGCCCTGTGTCCCTCCATGACTGTAATGGACAGCATCACTAAACAAGCCACTCTAGTGATCTCTTGTGTTTTGGTTTTTTTTTTTTTTTTTTTTTTTTTTTTTTTTGGTTTTTCGAGACAGGGTTTCTCTGTAGCTTTGGTCCCTGTCCTGGAACTAGCTCTTGTAGACCAGGCTGGTCTCGAACTCACAGAGATCCGACTGCCTCTGCCTGTGATCTCTTGTTTGTAAGCTAACAAACAAAGGTTTCCTGAAGATCAGAGTGCAGAGCTAAGGCACTAGTTAGCCATAGAGGCCAGGCAGTGGTGGCACATACATTTAATCCCAGCACTCAGGAGGCAAAGGCAGGCAGATCTCTGTGAGTTCAAGGCTACCCTAAGCTACTCCAGTCTAAAAGAGAAACAGAGCCAGGCAATGGTGGCTGACACCTTTAATCCCAGCACTGGGGGAATGGAGACAAGAAGGGATATGGCTGAATAGAGAGAGGAAAAATAAGGTGGGAGGAGACAGGAGCTCAGAGGCAGTCAAGATTCAGTCTGAGCATGCAGTCCGAGGTTTTGTAGAGACAGCAACAGTCTGAGGAGCCGTAGAGACAAGTTCTTCCTTCCAGTCTGACGATTCGATTCGGTAGAGGTAAAAGGTCTCTGTAGTTACTGGCTGCTCTGCTTCTCTGATCCTTCAGTTTTCGCCTCCTAACATCTGACTCTGGGTTCTCATTATTGAGAACAATTAGAATTCATGCTACAAGCCACCACAGGTAAATATTTTCCTTTACAAGAGTTGTCGTGGTCATGGTGTCTCAGCGACACCAGTGACAACAATAATGATTCAAACTGGGTGTGGTAGCATGTGTATGGTAATCCCAGTGCACAGGAACTGAAGGCAAGAAGGCCAGAAATTCGAGGCCTTCCTGACTGTGATGCCGGGAGACTCACTCCATCTCAAGAAACCAAGGGGGGGGGGGGCTGGAGAGATGGCTCAGTGGTTAAGAGCATTGCCTGCTCTTCCAAAGGTCCTGAGTTCAATTCCCAGCAACCACATGGTGGCTCACACCCATCTGTAAAGAGGTCCGGCGCCCTCTTCTGGCCTTCAGGCATACACACAGACAGAATATTGTATACATAATAAATAAATAAACAAACAAACAAACAAATAAATAAATAAATATTAAAAAAAAAAAAAAGAAACCAAGGGCTAGGGATTTTACGCAGCACTTTTTTGGAATTCAGCAGGCTCTGGGTTCAATCCCCAGCATTGGAAAAAAGGAATGTGTGTGTGTGTGTGTGTGTGTGTGTGTGATTTAAAATGGAAACAAAAAAGAACATTGATTGGCCATCATAGTCAAGAGGGCAGACTGTGGGAGGCAGGGATTCAGTATAATCAAGAAGCCTGTTTCTCTGGCTCTGTTGACCTTGCTTTCTCTGAATTAGCAGGGATCTCAATCCAGCTTTTCAAGGGAATGGCAACTGGTTCTGAACTCACTGCATACACTCTTCAGGGCTCAGCCAGCTCTGGAGGGAGTGAGCCTGTAATTCGTGACAATTTTCGCCTATCTGCTGAGGCTCCGCTGGGAATTTGTTGAGTTTGCTGGCTCGTGTCTCTATGCCTTAAATAAACACTCTGACTAGGGGTATGGGATATTCTAATTATAAAGGTCTGAGTCATATTTCCACCCCAAGAATAATAAAACATGAGAAAGGTCAGAATCATGGAAGAAAAACAACACACTCAATACATTAAAGAATTTACACCTGAGTAAACGGAGACAGCGGCACTGTGACTCCTAGGAAAGGTTTCCCTACCGAGCTGGGGGTCACACCCTGTAGTCCAGATCGGAGCTAGTTTGTGGTCCTGCTTCACCCTCCCAAGCTCTGGGGTTCCAGGCACGCCCAGTACGCCCAGCTACCCGCAAAGGTCTTAAGGAGTGGCGGTGGCAGGGACACGGGACAGTGTTCTGGAAGGTGCTGGGGCCCAGAGGACTTCCTTTTCTCCATATTTTAACCAAAGTGACAAACGTTTTTTTAAATAGAAATCCTTACATCTCTTTATATGGTATTATACCGTTTCATCTTATCGAGTTCCACATTCCTTCTAATGGCAAAAAGATGCGGCATCACTGCACTTTCCCTCCCCATCCCTTGAGACATTCTATACTTTATCCTAGAACGGGCCTGATTTGAACCTAGGAAGAACACACAGAGACCAGAGAAGAGTTAATGTCTGGAGGTGTGCAGTTCAGGATGGAGACGGGTAATCAACCTGACCCTGATTCTGCAGAAAGTGAGATCTCAATGGGACCTTAAAGACATTTGGAAGCCAGTCTTTAGAAGTGGTTAATGGTTGGTTAATGCTAGAACAATCGTGGAAAGCCGGCAAATGCAATGGGCTTCTCGCCGTCTTGTTCAGGTCTCTGCCGTCTAGTCCGTATTGCTCCTTGGTGATCTGACTACAGCGAAGGGTGGTGATTTATGAAACACTTAGGAACTGAACCAAGACTTAGTCCAGGGGCTCGGATCACAGCAGGAAAGAGGCACTTAATACCCTGGGCATTTGGGAGTTTCTAGAAGGCAACTGTGCCTGCAGAGAATCATTGGCTGGTTAGAACTGCCCAACTCGAGCCAGGCAGTGGTGGCGCGTGTCTTTAGTCCCAGAACTCGGGAGGTAGACGCAGGTGGATCTCTGTGAGTTCGAGGCCAGTCTGGTCTACAAGATCTAGTTCCAGGACAGCTAGGACTGTTATGCAGAGAAACCCTGTCTTGAAAAACCAAAACAGCCAACCAAACAAAAAAAGAACTGCCCAACTTAAGAGATTGGAAAGTTGAAGGTCCAGAGGCTAATTGCCTTATCTAGGGCTAGTTCTAGCCCTCTAGAACAGCCATTTTTTTTTTTTTTTTTTTTTTTTTTTGCCCATCTCTGGGCCTTAGCTAACATCTTGTAACTAAGAGATAAAAACTTTTTGGAATCTATTAACTCAGCCGACCACCACCTTCCACCCACCCCAACAGCTAAGTCTGTGTTCCCAGGCTATGGCCATTCAACATGGCTTCAGAATGAACCATAGCTTACTCCCTTGAAGATAAGAGCTGTGGTTTTTCAGGAAGAAATGTGGGGTTCTCTGCTCCCGGGGCTCCAGCATATGGATGTGTGGTTGCCATGCTGTGGGCAGCATGTTAGCAGTTAGAAATAGTTCTGGGGCCGGGCGATGGTGGCGCACGCCTTTAATCCCAGCACTCGGGAGGCAGAGGCAGGCGGATCTCTGTGAGTTCGAGACCAGCCTGGTCTACAGAGCTAGTTCCAGGACAGGCTCCAAAGCCACAGAGAAACCCTGTCTCGAAAAACCAAAAAAAAAAGAAATAGTTCTGAAGGAACCCTGGGCCCAGAGAGCATACATCAAGTCACTTAACTTGGTTCAAGGGATGTCTTTGTGAGTCAGATATTCCTCAGTTCGAATCTTGGCTCCACTGTTTAGCAATACTGAGGTCTTATGCAAATTATTAACCTTTCTAAATTTGTCCCTCTAAATTTGTAAGATGTGGATACAGTCACTTAAGACTCATGAGAAAAGGCAGTGCTGTATGTAAAACGCACAGTGCACATATTAAACAGATGAACATTTGCTCTTTTTTGAGATGAGAGTTTCCTTGTAGCCCAGGCTGGCCTTGAGCTCCCTATGCAGCCAAGTACAGCCGCAAATTCCTCCCTCCTTTACCTTCCAGGTGCCGGGGCTCCAGATGTGCAAACCCAAGCCCGCATTCAGTGAGTGGACTTCAGACACCTGGTGAGTTTTTGCTTAGAAAGCAATGTAGTCATAGTCTTGTGTTTATATGATTGAATTTGCTTTCTGCTTTAAGGTCCATCCCGCCAACTAGATGACAAGGGATTCCGGCCTCTCAAGATTTTGCTTTCTTTTCTAGAGGGTCAGAGTGTCCATAACAGATAGCTCACACAGGGTTGGGGCACAGGAACTGAGCTTGGGAGCCAAGGTGAGGCGCTCCCCGGCATCCCCCCCCTCCCCCAAATCCATCTCTCTTCGCTGATTTTTACTGTTGTCTCTCTCTTCTTCATCTCTGTTGCTGAAATCTGGCTATGCCCTAACTCTGAGCGATACGGATTGTGTAAGACAGTGCTTTCTAAGGCAGTGCCTCGCCCTGTACCATTTAACAAGCAGCTTTTGACTCCATTTCGAGGGCGGATCTACAGACAACACCATCTGTCTGGCACCACCCGCACAGTACAGGCTGATAAAAGACTTGTTCCTGGGAATAGAAACGTTATTCAAGCGGGCTGAGAGACTACAGGGCGGCATGGGCACACTAAAATCATATCAGAGACACCAAGCCAGAGAACTTCTTACACTTGCGTCCCCTTCACCTGGGTCTCATCACACAGCACTGAGTTGGTGTGTCCCCACTAAACCGTCATCTAATACCTGACATCGCGCCGGTGACCTGCCGTGGAATATTCCTTTACACTGAGATTGCTGTAATAAAAAGCTCAGCAGCCGGTTTTCCAAGCTCAACAGGCAGGATTTCCAAGCACAGAGAATGCTGGGAAGAAGAAAGGCAAAATCCACGGCCAGATGCAGAAGCAGCAGCAAAAGCAGTACATAGATGAGTTGAAGGAGCTGCCTTAATTTAAGTTGTAAGAGCTAGCTAGTAATAAGCCAAAGCTATTGGCTGAGCTTTTATAATTAATAAGAAGTCTCCCTGCCATTATTTGTGAGCCTGTGTCCAAAGAAAGCTCCACAGGCAGTGAACTCCAGGTTATTCGTGAGGCTTTAACTCAGGTTGGTCCCCACTGTTGATTCAGCCTACTCAGCTGTTATCTAACCCTCTTCCCGCTCATTCTCTAGACACTAATCTGCCCAGTTCTGCCCTTTCACCGCAGCCGATTACATCTCTGCCTCTCATTACAGTGGCCTGGCTCTACGGCCGTAGTTCTCAACCTGTGGGTCTCGGCCCCTTTGGGGGTTGAATGACCCTTTCACAGGGTCGCCTAAGGTCATCAGGAAACAGATATTTATAATGCAATTCAAATAATAACAAAATTAGAGTTATGAAATAGCAATGAAAATAATTTTATGGCTGGAGGGGTCAGCACCACATGAGGGGTACTATGGTCGAGCGTCACAGCAGTAGGAAGGCTGAGAACCCCTGCTTTGCACCTGCAGCTGTTTCCCTGCAGCTGGATTGGGTTCATTTTCCTATCAATGCAGACTCTATTTAGATGTCTATCAGCCTGCTGCTGAGACCTCAGGAACCCCGCAGGAGCCTCTTTAACTTGTATCTATCCCCTAACCCATATATATGCAACATTTTAGTAATCTCTCTATTGCCCAATATGTTTAGTGGGGGCTGACAGGGTCAGAGGGTGAGTGACCATCGTGACAGGGAGCATGACAACAGGCAGGCAGGCATAGCGGTGAAGCTAAGAGCTTGTGTCTGGTTCATAAGCAGAAGGCAGAGAAGAAAATAGTTAACTGGGAATGGGGTGAAGTTCTTAGTATTAAAGCCCACCCCCAAGCGACACATCCCCTCTACCAAGGCCACACCTCTTAATCCTTCCCAAACAGTTCCACCCACCGGGAACCAAGTATTCAAACATATGAGGGTCAATCTCATTCAAACTGTCACATACATATATGGAGATAGATATATTGGCTGCATCTGTGTGATATGAGAGTTTATATTACTAATTAAGATCACAATAAAAGAACCTGCATTTACCTCATCTAGATCACCAACGTAGGTAAGGTTATCTGGCAGGTTGCTGCCTTTGAAACTTTATCTTGTGACTTTATTGTTGTTGTTCTTTTTTAAAAATGAATTCTAACACTATGAAAAGGCAGAAACATTTTCATTTGTGTTCCTGACTAGTTCACTAATGACACTGTAGAAGGACCCTCTCAGATCGATGCTTTCTCCCTCCCTGTCTCAGGCACAAGCGATCAGTCTGTATTGCTCCTTGGACCGGTTGGGGGTGCTGGAGGAGGCTGTTGCTGTCCCATTTGCCCAGATGTGCCATGCAGTTGTTTCTGTTACGTTCCTTGTATTCGTCACTTTTGGTCCTTGTGACAAAACACCTGAATTAAACAAAACAACTTGATGGGTGATCTGGGTCATGATCTCAGCAGCTTCAGCCCCTGGGCCCCTTGGCTCTGGGACTACGGAGCATCCGGGTAGAAGAGTGCAGTGGAGAAAAACAGATGACCTCACAGCAGCTGAAAACATGAACACGGGGGCTGGAGAGATGGCTCAGAGGTTAAGAGCATTGCCTGCTCTTCCAAAGGTCCTGAGTTCAATTCCCAGCAACCACATGGTGGCTCACAACCATGTGTGATGAGGTCTGGTGCCCTCTTCTGGCCTTCAGGCATATACGCATAAAGAATATTGTATACATAATAAATAAATATTTAAAAAGAAAAACATGAACACGGCAGGGATAAGACACCTTTCGAAGGCACACCCTCAATGGCCCACTTCCTCCAATCAGACCCCTCCTTCCAGCTTCTGCTGTCTTCCAGTATGGGTCCATCCATGCAGTAACCCACTAATGGAGTCAGAGAACGTGTGATCCAATCATTTGCCCAAAGCCACACCTCTGAGCAATGCATGGGAGACCAAGCCTTTAATACATGAGTCTTCCGGAGGGACATTTCATATCCGAATCGCAGTCCATGTTGTGTGAGGAGAAGAATATGTTCCCTGGTATCCCTGGCAGTGGGGATAAGGACCCCCAGATCTTCCTTCCCTCCCTCATGCAATTCAGTATTGGAGGTGGAGGCGGGACACAGGCCCTTCTGTAGGAAAACATAGCAGCTGCCGAGTTCTCTTGGTTCCTTCCAGATCTCTGTCTCTTTGGAGAATTTCTGGATATGAGCAGCCTTCTCTTTGTTTTTTGAAACCTACGATTAGTATGTCTTTTTGGACTCTGGCCTGTAGAAGTCAGGACTTCACCTCTTTGGCCTACTACATTCTGCTGCATTGTGCAAGAGCCTACTTCCCAAACAAAGACCCTGCAGACAGATACAAAAGCTAGACCCGCTTCTGGAATACCCAGAAGAGAAGAGGGATCTCTCAGCTGTTGACTACCATACCACCACCACCCCCTCCCCCCAGACATTAGTCCTGGAGTTTAATTTGCTTTGTTTCTGTAGACTGGGTCTATGTACCCCCGGCTGTCCTGGAACTCACTATATAAACCAGGCTGGCGTCAAACTCGTAGAGATCCACCTGCCTCTGCCTCCTGAGTGCTGGGATTAAAGGTGCACACCACCACACCTGTCTCAGGTTTAATTTTAATGAGCAATTTCTTTACCTCATGGAACAAGTATGATATGTCAATGGCAAATGCACAAGTCAATAATGAATATCTAGGTTGGCGGAGTGTTTGCTTCACTTAAGCAAGTATCTATGAATTAACTCCTGTCAAAGTTTAAGGCGCGAGACCAGAGCCACAAAACCTAACAGGAGGGAAAGGAGACAAAGGGGCCCGAGAAGTGTTCAGAGAGTGGTCTAAAGGGGAAGAAGGAGCTGGAAGCCGGTGATGGGCGACGGAAGACCACATTATAAAATCTCATCTACTTCTCCTTTTGCCTTCCAGGGGACTGTTGGTTGAGTAGGGATGAGTTTTGAAAAACCTCAATTAATTTTAAGGACGGAAACAAAGTAAGTGCTTTCCTTCCCACCAGGGAAGGCAATTCTGATGCTAAACACCTCATTGATGGCGGTAATACCGTGCAGTTAATTTTAAAGATGGGAACAAAAGCCGTGTTTTCCTTCTCACCAGGGAAGGCAGTTTTAAACACCTCATTGAGGGTAGCACTGCCAGGCTCGTTGGGGACTTGATAATAGCTCCTATTGACAAGACAATACGGAAAACACAGGATGAAGCCCGCCTGCGCTTAGGCGGCTGTCACCCCCACCTCCTAGATAGCCGAGGCACACTTAGATCCCTGTTTACGGAAAGGCGTGTTAAGAGCACAGCGCATTCCAAATAGTTTCACGACGCCAAGTCCGGCGGAAATGAGTTCCAGAGCTACTGCGCTGAGTTCAGGGAGCCGCGGTGTGGTGGAATCAAGTCCATGAGGCTTTGATGAGAGTGGGGTTTTTCTGTTCACGTTTGTTTGCTTGTTTATTTATTTATCCAGGCTTTGGCATAAGAGGGGAATCTTCGGTTTGTCACTGCCTGCCGTCTGGAGCTAGAATCACGGAACAGGGAAAGAAGAAATAGTTCTATTACCCTCATGGTCATGGATTTGCTCCTCATGGCGGTGGGGGGTGGGTGGGTGGGAGTCAGGCAGCATTTTGACGGAACTTTTCACCAAGGGAATGAGTGGAGTCAGGCACTGTAGTTGACAGCTTCAGCTTAGACTCCCAAGAGGAGCGGACTGTCCAGGGTAAGAAGAGCCGTCAGGGTCTCAGCAGCTCAAGGTCAAAGGATCCCCACCTCGTGTCACCCCAAATTGTCCTGAGAGCCAGTGATCATATGTGCTCAATTTATTGAGTCAGTAAAAAGATACAATATATTCACTGAAAACTAAAGCAACCCAGTTCTAATTATCTAATTGGAAACATTTGAAGACCAGATGCAGTATGGTGGATTGTCTGTGCGCAGTCTTCTTGGGCAATGACTGAGACGAGGTCCTCACTTTTAGGAAAGTGAGCAAGGTTAGGAAACGGGTGTGGGACAGACAGGCATGGCGTGGTGACTAATACTTGAGTTCTGGGCCACCATTCTTTCTTTTCGCTTTCATTTCTAGAAGAGAGGGGGTCACGGGCCAACCACTTGAAGTTCCTAGTGTAGACACAAAGATCCTTGATTGCCAGTGTTGACTACTTCCCGTTACTATAACAAAATATCTGAGATAATAAGTTTAGAGAGAGAAAGGGTTTGTTTCAGTACACAGGGTTTTTGTTGTTGTTGTTATTTTGGTTCTTGTTGTTTTCTTTCTTTCTTTTTTTTTTCGGCTTTTTTTTTTTTTTTTTTTTTTTTTTTTTTTTTTTTTTTTTTTTTTGGTTTTTCGAGACAGGGTTTCTCTGTGGCTTTGGAGCCTGTCCTGGAACTCGCTCTTGTAGACCAGGCTGGTCTCGAACTCACAGAGATCCGCCTGCCTCTGCCTCCCGAGTGCTGGGAATAAAGGCGTGCGCCACCATCGCCCGGCCCTTTTCTTTCCTTTTTTTAAGATTTATTTATTTTTATGTGTGTGTGTGTCTCCATGTATGTATGTTCACGACGTCTGTGCCTGGCATCCTTGGAGCCTAGGAAAGGGAGTCAGATCCTTGAAACTGAAGTTACTGCCAGGTTCAAAAGAAACTCCATTTCGGCATATTCTGAAAGGCAGAAGGGACGAGGGGCTATCTGCGGTGGCTGTTAACACACCCAAGTGCATCCTGGCCTCCAGGCTCCCTCCGTGTCACAAGTACCTGTCACACATTTCCAAGTCCCTGTTAGCACCCTAGCCCTTCTCACATCCTCCCTACCCTAAACTTCCCAGCTGCTCATTCTCCTTACAACGCTGCTATTTTGGCTATGTTGTCTCTCTTTGTCTTCCTCTTAACACCCACTCTCCCGTTTTCTATCTTCTTCTTTCTCCTCCTCTCTGTCTCCATCTCTCTGTCTCTGCTCTGCCCCTGCTTTTCTCACAGCCATGACCAGGTCTGGAGAGTGGAGGTCTCTTTAGGGATGAAGGGAAAGTAAGGAAATTGACTTCAAATGGCGTCTTTGTCACCTGTTTCATCTCTGTAATTTAGAAAAGTCTCAGGGCACTGCTGGGCTTGTATGTGTGATAGAAATAAATAAAGTTCTTGTGTAAATATATTTAAAAAAAAACACTCAAATTTCCCCAGCCTCTTAGATTCCATTTCAGTATCCTCCTGCTGCCTCAAAATATAGCTCACGCTTCATCCTGGACTTTGAGACACTGTCAATGAGTATTAGTCATTGCCCGATGAGACGTGCATGGACCATATGGTAGACTCGGTGGAGTTTTCGTGGGCATTCATCACTGGTTAAAACACAATTTAATAATGTGGTCATTAGCGTTTTGCCTGCTGCATGTCCGTGTGAGAATGTCAGAAGCCCTGGAACTGGAGCTACAGACAGGTGTGAGCAGCCGTGTGGGTGCTGGGAATTGAACCCCGGGCCCTCCAGAAGAGCAGCCAGTGCTCTTTGCCGCTGAGCCACCCCTCCAGTCCTGCATTCGCCACTGTGAAGGCTGAGTAAGAGCTTGTGCTCTGCTTGGAGCCTACTTTCAAGAAACTCACTATACGGAGGGGACACAAGGCCGTCACATGTTCAAATGTGTATAAAATATGCATAAATATCACACAAATGCTCCTCCAGGTGCTTTGGGGTTTCAGAGCGGAGGGGGATGAACAGGGTGTGTTTGAGAATGGCCGGGGTAAGGGCAGGTGGGGGTGTACAGAGATCAGAGGCTCCCAGAGAAGAGTGGATCGGCTATTAGAGGGCATGAAGGGGGAGGAGAGGAGAACTCCATTACTATAATTGTTTGTCCTCAGGCAATTTACTTAAGACTTGCTTGTTCATCTGTGAAACGGAGTAATAGCTGGGACAACATAATGTGAGGTTCTGGTGGGGTGCTGACGTGAAAAATCCCGTTCATTTCTTAGCACAGTACCCAGAATTTCGCGGCTTTTCCCATAAAGAGTGCTGCTGTTCATCGTGAACTGTTTTAATTGGAGTCAGTGCTGTGTGTTGGTGAGAACTAAGGGATGTGACGGGAGAGAAGCACAGAAGATCAGCAAGACGAGACCGGGCTGTGACATCTGTGACTCTGTTGCTCCTGTTACTGCTTGCACTGTGCCTTTGGTCCGATGTCAAAGTTTGGCTGTTGTTTTTGTTTCTGGAGGCGGGGTTTCTCTGTGTAGCCTTGGCTGTCCTGGGAACTCACTCTGTAGGCCAGGCTGGCCTCGAACTCACAGAGATCCAACACCCTCTGCCTCCCAAGTGCTGGAATTTAAAGGTGTGCGCCACCACACTTTTAGAACCCTTACCGTGTCTCTGTTATATCAGCTTTACATTGCTGTGACAGAATGCGCAAGACAGTCAACTTGTTGATTTTTTTTTTAATTCTCTCTCTCTCTCTCTCTCTCTCTCTCTCTCTCTCTCTCTCTCTTTCCCAAGACAGGGTTTCTCTGTAGCTTTGGAGACTGTCCTGGAACTAGCTCTTGTAGACCAGGCTGGTCTCGAACTCACAGAGATCCAGCAGCCTCTGCCTCCCGAGTGCTGGGATTAAAGGCATGCGCCACCACCACCCGGCAGGACAGTCAACTTGTAATGAGGAGAGATTTACTTTGACCCATGATCTCAGGGACTCCAGCCTATGGTCAGTTGGCTCCGTTGCATTATGGCCCGCACTGAGACATGACATCATGTTGGGAAAGCACATGGTGGGGAGCAGATGAGGGAACAAACCTCTCCTCCTCATGGTGGCTGGAAAACAAAAAAAGAACCAGAAAAGTAAGGTTTTGATATCCCCTCAAAGGGCATGACTTGAATAACCTCCCATTAAGTCACTCCTAAGAGTTCTGCCACTTCCTAGTAGTGCCCCAGGCTGGTGACCAAGTCTTTCTCAAACAGATCTTTGAAGAACACTTCCCGTCCAAACCATAACTCTGTTAAGAACCATTCTGCTTAGAGCAGCTGGCATAGCAGGCAAAGGGTAGGCGGGGGAAAGAGAAGGCTCCTCCAGCTCAAAGAGTATTACATCAAATCATGGGGATGGGCAGAGATCCTCCAAGGCAGATGGTTCTAGGTAGCCTGTACCAGAAACACCTGCCCGAGTTCAGGCAAACAATCACTCCTGGGCAGTAGGATCGGTTCCACTCATTGATCACAGATGTTCATGGAGCGCTCTCCCCTGGGCCTAGCAGGCAAGGCAGAAGCAATTGAGATCTCAGCCTGCCAATGATCTGGGTAGATCTTAGGGCGATACCAGGCATCAAGAGCCATTTAGTGGCCAGAGGATGCTTGGAGAGCCAGAGCAGGAGTCTACCGATGAGCAGCCAAGCCATACTGTAGGAGCCAGCCATGATAAGTTAAATATGAACAGATCACCCAAAGGAAGTTCTTTACTCCCAATCATTATCACTTGCCAGAGCAGGACTCAGCCATCGATAAATTTAATACATGCCTGAATCTCAGTTGTTTACCCTGAAGCAATACCTGGTTGCAGTAAGGACCATGAACTAAGATTACCTGAGCACCACCCAAAAACAGACCCATTCAAAGGAAACGTCTAACGTTCTAACTGCTGTAGTTAGGATCACCTGCCAGCACACACTCACCAGGACACCCCTAGACAAATGTCAGCCAATCAGGGGTCCTGAACCTCAGAAACCCCTCACCCCCACCTTTGCTACTATCAAACCCTATTGAGCTCAGGGCTCTCCATTTATTCCAATACGTTGAACATGTGGAGAGACTGAGTTTGCAAACTTGCATAAAATAAAAGCTCTTTGCTTTTACATATGGGACTCGGTCTCTTTGTTGGCTTTTGCGGAGACTTCATGGATTTGGGCATAACAATACCACTCACCAATCCTGTGATCTAGTTATTTAACATTTCCGAGTCTCATTGTTCTTGTTTCAAAAATGAACTAATAGAGGCACAGTTCCAAGCGATGCCACGTGAAGCGAAACATCACACTTGATCGGGTCACGGCAGAGCACTGGCTTGGAGCACTGGCTTGGAGCACTGGCTTGGAGCACTGGTTGGATCGTGACCACCGGCTTCAGAGATGCTCTGAGACCTTTGGAAATGTGAACAGCTTAAACAGTCCTGGGTTCTATTAGGCCTGAAGGCCGATTGCAGATTTCCCCCTCTTGGAATTTAACACTTTAACCTGCCCCTGTGTGGGGAGATGCTAGATGGGACTCCCGGCCCTTCCTGCCTTGACACACTCCACTGCAGCGCTGAAGAGCCTATAAATAGTGAAGGTTTTTATCTGGACTCTCTGATCTCGGGCTTTCAAAGACCGTTAGACAAATACCTAGCAGCAGATAAGATTCTTCCTCATTTCCTAGATAAATAGTTGTCAGGAGCCATTTCCCCCCTAACAATCATTACAGAAACCATCACTCTAGGGAGTCTGCAGAGAACCTCACACCCATAGTTATGTTCTATTGACAAAACCTGCCCCTCACCCAATTAATTGCTAATCTTAGCGGAACCCGCCTCACATTCCAGCTATCCAGGGAACCAGGTGTGGCCACTTGTGACTTCTGGCCTGTCTGTCTGAATGTAACCGAGCTACGTGACCGGAACCACGCGGCCTGCGAGATCCCATACCCTGCCCCTCATCCCTTACCATATATAAACTGTAACCCGTCCCTAATAAACGGAGGCCTTGACAAAGTTGCTTGGTCTCCTTCTTCTGTCTTAGCTCACTCCCTTCCAGGTAGCGCCCCTCCGAGACCCTGGAATAACTGGATTGCGGGTGGGTTACAACCCCTAGACTGAGTAGCCCACCCAACGCAATCCACA